TTCCTGGTCACCCAGGAGGCTGAGCCACTGCAGGCTCGGGTGCGGGAACAGCAGCGGGTCGACGCTTGGGCCCAGGAACGACTCCGGGAACTGGCCGAAGGGTCCTGCCCTCAGTATCCGGGGCTGGTCCTGCATCAGGGCCTTCTGCTGCACCACGGTCGCCTGTACATCCCGCCAGGGCCACTGCGGGCTGAGGTTCTCCGGATGCCCCATGATGCCCCAGCAGCGGGGCACTTTGGGCGGTATCGGACCACCCATCTGGTAAGCCGTGAGTTTTGGTGGCCCCACCTGAAGGCTGACGTGGCTCGCTACGTCGCTGGTTGTGATGTCTGCCGGCGGTCCAAGGGCTCTACCGGGTGACCCCCCGGCCTACTTCAGCCATTGCCGGTCCCACCACGTCCTTGGCACATGGTTTCGCTGGACTTTGTAGTGGACTTACCCCCGTCTCATGGCTGTACCTGCCTTCTAGTTTTCTCCGACCATTTCACTAAGATGGTGCACTGTGCCCCCTGTCCATCCGTACCCACAGCTAAGGAAACCGCTCAGCTGTACCTTCAGCATGTCTTCCGCCTGCATGGCCTACCTTAGCGTGTGGTGTCCGACCGGGGCGTTCAGTTCACATCCCGGTTCTGGCGAGCATTGCACCAGACCCTCGGGACGGAGGTCTGTCTCTCATCAGCCTACCACCCACAGACCGATGGCCAGACGGAACGGGCGAACGCGGTGCTGGAGCAGTACCTCCGGTGTTACTGCAGCTACCAGCAGGATGACTGGGTTGACCACCTAGCATTGGCGGAGTTCGCCTACAACAACGCGGTGAATGCGTCCACCCAGCAGACCCCGTTCCAGGCCAGTTATGGTTATCATCCACGGCTGTTTCCAGATGTGCTGCCAGCATCCGCGGTCCCTGCGGTGACGGAGTGGCTTCAGGAGCTCCAGTCCCAGCAACAGCTATTGATGGAGCAACTGCGCCAGGCCAAGGAGGCGTACAAGGCCCAGGCCGACCGTCACCGTCAAGTGGGGCCGGAACTCCACGTCGGTGACCTGGTATGGCTCTCCACTCGTCACCTCCACCCCTCTCGACCTTCGCGGAAGCTGGATGCCCGTTTCACCAGCCGGTTTCCTATCATGGACCAAGTCTCACCTGTGGTATTCCGTCTCCGGTTGCCCGCAACCCTGAAGGTTCACCCGGACTTCCACAGGTCCCTTCTGAGTCCGGTGGCCCCACCCGACGAGTTCCACCCGAACCGTCCCCGACCGCAGCCAGTTTTGGTTCAGGGGGAGCCTGAGTACGAGGTGGAACGCATTCTGGACTCCCGATACCGCAGGGGAAAGCTGCAGTATCTCATAGACTGGAAGGGGTATGGACCGGAGGACCGTTCCTGGGAACCAGCAGCCAACGTCCACGTGCCTGCCTGCCTCCGAGATTTCCATGCGGCATACCCCAGCAAGCCGGGTCCAGACCCTCGATTGAGGGGGGGGCCTGGGAGGGGGGATGGTGTGATGGCCTGGGAATCCGATTCAGAGGGTGAACTGGAGGAATCCCAGCCTGCACAGGAGTTCCCGCCTCCAGGGTCGGCTGAACTGGGGCAGGGCCTTGATTCTGAGGCACCTACACCTGTGCCGGATCCTCAGGAGCAGGCACCAGGTGAATCCATTCTGGCTCCAGAGGTGGTTGAGGACTCAGTGCCTACAAGTGAGTCTCCCCCCCGGGCCCAGTAACCCTTCAGCCTCTCCTGAACTGCAGAGGCTCAGGGCAGAGGGCGAAGGGAACTGGTTTCTCCCAGGAGGAGTGCTCGCCTTAAGGCCAGGAGAGGCGGGTCTCCTGGGGGCCGGGACCGCCCCTGGCCTCAGAGAAGATAAAGGCCAGTCAGCCCGGTCCCAGGTTGCGGAAGCAACGTCGTCGTTGTGGAGTACCTGTTCCTGCCCGGACCCAGACCTGACCCTCCAGTGTTCCTGTCCCCGCCCGGCTTCCTGCTTCGGACCTCGCCCCGCTCCTTGTGAACTGTTTCTAGGCTAGTGACCCAGGACCGGACTTTGACTACGCCAACGGTAACCTTCCCCCCGGGACCAGCACACAATGTTTGTTCACAGACAGCTTTCTGGGTCATGTGGCCAGCATGACTAAACTGCTTCTGGTGCAGCGGAACCCAGTGACGGAAACCAGAGCGTACGGAAACGGCTTTTACCTTCCCACCGCAGTGGTACCTATTTATCTACTTGCACTGGTATGCTTTCAAACTGCTAAGTTGGCAGGAGCTGGGACAGAGCAACAGAAGCTCACCCCGTTGTGCAGATTCAAACCGCTGACCTTCCAGTCAGCAAGCCCAAGAGGCTCAGTGGTTTAGACCACAGCACCACCTGCTCCCTTATTCAGCACTCTAAGGGAATGCATCTCCATGTAATTTCATGGCAGACTCTAGAGCTACACAGACAAGATGCAAAATTACACTTGCTCCTAATAATATCCTTCATGTCATCAGGTGGAAAAGCAAGATGTCAACAAAGTGTCCATGAATTGCTGGAATTTGCTCATATTGTAAATATAAAACTACTTCTGGAAATTGCCCCAACAAATGTTTATAGATATTGTAGATTAGCCTGATGAAAACAGGCATCAACGATACTAAGAACAAGGTATGTGGATGTTTCATCTTATAATTATAAATCAGAAAAATTGTAATATTAAGGGTTCTTTTTAATTATATTTATTTTTTAAGAGATCTAATAAGAGTATTTGAAATTAAATGTACATTTTTTAAATATCAAAGCTCATCTTTCACTTTTTTTAACTCCTGTCACTCACAGCACATCAGGTATGTTGGTGTACATATCTGTCAGGGTGCTGTCAGCGGCTCCCAGCTAGTTGCCCAGGAAAATATAAAGACAGGGAAAAGGCTCTTACAGTCCTTTTTTTATTTCAAACTTTACAGAGACAGTCTATAGAACCCAGCCTCTGGGATAATGGCGTTGTCCCGAGTGAATCTCCACCCCCCCCTTCTCTCCCACTTCCTCATTCATCGTCGTCATCATCTCCTCTACGGGTGCCACTAAGTGCCCTCTGTCTTCGATCTCTTTATTCTCCTATTTTTAAGGCTTGCCGGGTTCTGGGAGATGGTGGGTCTGGAAAGATTTCTAGTGACAATGTGTTAGCCAGCTGCTGCTCCAGCTTTGCCTGCTGCTCCTCTCCTCTCCCCACTTTCCCCCTTATCTGCCTCTGAGCTATGAACTCCCGCAAACCACTGTTGTAAATCTGTACTATCTTCCTCCGCCCTGGAAGGGTCAGGATGGGGAGGCGGTCTCCACCACTCCTCCTCCTCTGCCCAGCCCCTGACAATATCTTCACCTTTCATTCATCTCATGGATGGAGAACCTGTGACCTTCCACATGTTGGACTACACTCCTATAATCTTTGGCCATTGGCTATGTTGGTAGGGCTGATGGGAGTTCAACAACATCTGGAGGGGGCTGCAAGTTGACCACTCCTAATCTAGGCCCTTGTTTGCATCAGTGGTATTTTCTTCCAAAAGCATCCAATAAGTACTGTGCTCTAGAGATTTTAGCGTTTGCATCCCAAGTAGGGATATCTTTCTTATTCGGAAGTTTAGCCCCTTTAATATGCACAGCTGCCCATGGAAACATTTTCCAAAAGCCATTAATTTCTGCATATATTTCACACTGCTTTACCTCTTTCTTTCAGCCTGACCTACAAAACAAATTCAGTGTGGGTGATGACTGAACCGATGTTAAGGTACTTGAACATAATCACTGTATTTTTTGCTCCATAAGACGCACCTGACCATAAGACACACCTAGTTTTTAGAGGAGGAAAACAATAAAAAAAAATATTCTGAACGAAACAGTGGATGTATGATTTTTGTGGTTCATGCTTTCCCAGAATGCTTTTAGAACCTTATAGGTCCACCACATATGATAGAAGGTGCCTTCCTTTTGCTTACATTTCCAGCAGATATTTGCACTTGTCTTATACATTTTTACAAGCTTACTAGGAGTCAAATACCACCGGTACATCATTTTCATATAATTTTCTTTCAGCGTACAACATGCTGAGAATTTCACCACCGCCCAAGCCTCCCTTACCTGGATTGTGCAGCAGTGCCTGGCAGCAACAATGGCAGATTCTGGTGAGATCTTGTGAGATCTCACTGAGCTCTTGCAAGATCTTACAGAGCTCATGAGATCTTGTGAGATTTCAGGAAGATCTCACAAGATCTTGCTAGCCTAATACTGTTATTAAACCAACTAGATTTAGTAGGATTATGCATAGGGTTTCCATGTTGGGTTGCAGCTAGCACTGTCGGCAGGGTAAGGTCCTGGCACTTACATGACCTCCCACTACTGACATTGCTGGTGCTGGCAGAGTTGAGTAAGGTTGGCACAGTGAAAACACACCAGTGCAGTCATGCTTTGGAATACCAATTGCCCTCCCCCAGGATATGTCATTCCCTCTCCAACCTGGTTTTCTTCTCCCCATCCCAGTCAGTCGGCCTTCCCTGGCTACTGAGCACACTCAGTCCACATTGGCCTGCTTTTGGTTTCCACAGTCCTGCCAATACTTTCCTTGTGCGTGAGACAGTGGTGCTGGTTTGGTCCCACGGCCAACAGTATTCACACCCGATCATTAGAAATGGAGCAAGTGATGATCTTTGAAGTCCTGTTATGGTTCTCCATTGGTACACATGAGCCTCTTCTCTGAGCTACACATTTTCTCCCTGATTTGTGTGGTGCATTGTGGCTCCACTGAGCAGCATCAAGATGAAACCATAGACACATTACTGGTTTCCACTGCAGAGAAAGAACTTTCTTTTGTTCCTAAAATAAAACTGACTTTTGAAGTGCTAAAGCAGTAACCACATTGTGGCAGGAAAAAGCTGTCGATGAGGGGCTAGCAGAGATGAAGGTTTTTCCCACCCTTCACCTGACTAGAAAAAAAAACAAACCTGAAGTGTGTTCTCAGATTTTCCGCCTCTCATCCTCCCCATTACGCCTCTTGCTCAGGAAGGGTCCAGGAAGGGTCCAGCGAGCTATAAAAATCTGCTGAGGGGAGCCCTTAGTTACTTGTAGTCCCATCACCTCAGGAAAGGATCAACCATGAAACTCTACACAGCAGCCATTCTGACCATCGCTTTTTTCGAGCTCTTCAGTGTATATATTATTACAGGTATGTTTAAAATATTATTAATAGTAGTCGTATGTTTATTTCATATCCTGGGAAGCGTAGTTTGTTAAGGGTGCTAAGAGTTGTTTGAATACCCTTATTTCCCTCTCTGAGCTACAATTTGCAGAGCAGTTTAACAATCCATCTCCACACTGGGAATTCTGAGAACTGTAGTTCTCAGAGGATAAATGTTGTTGTTGTTTAGTTGTTTAGTCGTGTCCGACTCTTCGTGACCCCATGGACCAGAGCACGCCAGGCACTCCTGTCTTCCACTGCCTCCTGCAGTTTGGTCAAACTCATGCTGGTAGCTTCGAAGACACTATCCAACCATCTCGTCCTCTGTCGTCCCCTTCTCCTTGTGCCCTCAATCTTTCCAACTTCAGGGTCTTTTCCAGGGTGTCTTCTCTTCTCATGAGGTGGCCAAAGTATTGGAGCCTCAGCTTCACGATCTGTCCTTCCAGTGAGCACTTAGGGCTGATTTCCTTAAGACGATAAATAGGGGACTCCTAATGATAATTTCCATGTGGATGCTGAAATCTTTTCCTGTGCACCTATGTTCCTACCTGGATTGATAGAAGCCGAGAAATGTTTTCCTTGCAGTAGAAGTGCAGTTTTCAGGATGGGGGAGAGAGAGATTTCAATCACTACCCTAAATGAGTAACGGACGACAGAGGACAAGATGGTTGGATAGTGTTCTTGAAGCTACCAGCATGAGTTTGACCAAACTGCGGGAGGCAGTGGAAGACAAAAGTGCCTGGCGTGCTCTTGTCCATGGGGTCACCAAGAGTCGGACACGACTAAACGACTAAACAACAACAACAACAAATGAGTAACAGTTGTGATTTATTGTATTGTAAATCCAATAGCTAGAAGACCAACAGAGATCAGAACCACTTGCAGACATGCAAGAACAAAAGGAACCCCTTTATTTTTTGTATTTTAAAGTTGTTTTACACTTTTAAATAGCGTGTTTTAATATTAATGGAGGTTTTTAAATTGTTGTAACCTGCCCTGAGACATTAGGGTGAGGGGAAGGAAATAAGTTCTAATTCTAATAATAATGTTCCTGATTATTTGATGCCAGTTAAACTTATATTTTATCTCTTTTTAAGGAACGCTTGGATCTCAGACTATGGCACTCGACTCCTGTATAACCTTAGAGACAAATGAAATGAACATCCGAAGATTTGCTAGTTATACAACCCAAACCAGACCAGTAAAAGCTGTGATGTAAGTATCTTGCCTAATCTTCAACTGTAAAGTAGCCTACAAGTCTGAAGAAAGAGACATGCTTGCGTGACTTTCCAAAGAAACACAGATTCCAGTTAGAAGTAGTAGTATTACCAGTGTATACTATGCAATGTTCATTCCATGTTCTATCTGATAACTGTCTGGGTGGGTGACCAAATATGTGATTAATATAGGAGACTATTGCATCATGGCTATGCTCTGCCTCCCTATCAGAGGCAGCATGCTCTTGCCCTTGGGTCCCAATTGCATGCTTCCCATGGCATCTGCTTGGCCACTACAAGAACAGGATGCTGGACTAATAATAATAATAATAATAATAATAATAATAATAATAAATTTTATTTATACCTCACCCTCCCCGGCCAAAGCTGGGCTCAGGGTAGCTAACACCAGTAAAATTACAATAAAAACACAATAGGAAAAAATACTAATTTAAAATAACGCCCTCCCATCAGATGTCAAAGCGATAAACAACTATCTGACGTTTAGACGACATCTGAAGGCAGCCCTGTTCAGGGAAGTTTTTAATGTGTGACATTTTAGTGTATTTTTGGTCTCTGTGGAAGCCGCCCAGAGTGGCTGGGGAAACCCAGCCAGATGGGTGGGGTACAAATAATAAATTATTATTATTATTATATTATTATTATTAGATGGGCCATTGGCCTGATCCAGCAGGCTCTTCTTGTGTTCTTGTTTTAAGTGGAGGCATCTAATGGTGTCCAGCATTCATCATTCAAACTTCCAACCTATTACTGACACCAATCCAACCGGAAGCCAATAAAATTTTAGCTGCAATCCTTTGCAAGTCTACTCAGAAATAAGTCTCATTGAGTCCCATTGTGCTGGATTCCACTTGCTCCTAGTGGACACAGAACAGCTGCCCAAAGCACTGTGTTTCACATTTCACACAGAAATACAATCCACAATAATTCTTTAACAAAATTAAACTTAGTGATTTGCTTTCTATTCTCTTGCAGCTTAATCACCAGAAGAGGTGTCAAGGTCTGTGTGCCACATGATCTTCCATGGGTGACAAAAACCATGAACTACTTGGACCAAAAAAAGGCAATACAGCAAAGAAGAACAACATCTAGGAAGATGACCAGCTAGGCTGCTGCACATCAAATCATCAATAGCTGCTCATAACTTTGGCTAATTCCTGACTGGAAATAAAGTTACTGAACTGATGTAGTTTCACTGGAATCTATTCATCCATCAAAGCAATGCTGATGCAATTACAGCATTTTAATGCTGCCTTTAGTCTTAATTATTTTAGGACAACCTTTTTTATTTATTGGAAGAAGGCAGCTCTTTCAATATTTTCAATTGAAGCTGTTTTCAGTGTTTGGGGAGTACTTATTCAGAGTTTCCCTTTTCATCATATTGTTTCTCTGGTTTATAGTGTCCTTCGAAGACAATATTAATGTAGAGTGTTCTATGATTGCATACAACTGATTGTTCCCCTGTTAGGATGGCTGAGGGCTTCCTGTGCTTAAGATATCACTGATTATACAAACATAAACCCCAGGGGATGCTGGGGGTTGGGGGGAGAGGAGCCCTAGAAACCAATCTGGCACTTACAAAATGATGAGGCCCCCATGGATATTCAGAATGTTCTTTTATCTCATGAACCTTCATGTGAATAGCCAGATTTCTAGGTAAAGCTCATCACTCTTCCACAGTGCCAGTTAGCAAAAGAGTTTTGGCACTACCTAGGTCACTAAGATACATATGGCTGTAACAGCCTCATATATGGTTGAGCAAATATATGAGGAAATAGCTAATAGAAGGAAAGCAATATCAAGAAAGAAATCAAGGACAGGTCTGTTTATTAACACGGATGTGGACTTATGTATTGGAATAAATAGAACGAGCTGCCTGTAATTCAAATTTGTGCTTTCTTCATCTGGTTCATGTTTAGTACATGATCACTGGAAACTTTCGTGGAATGTATAATACTGTCGCTTGCTGCTATTCTTCAAAATTGTATACCTTTTCGTTTCCTTGATTTTTTGAGGGGACTGTCATCTGTTTTGAAGAACTTAAAAAAATTAATCAACTAACTTCCTGTCATTGGATCCATTTGCTGATCAAACTAGACGTTACATCAACAGAATACAGGTGACAGTGAGAATATTTGAAAAAGATAGCTATTATTGTTTTTGGTCAAGAGTACAAAAAGAATAATGCCACGCAATCTTTTGAAGAGCATCTTAAATGTCTTAGCTGAATGAAGAGATATACTTATATTAATTCAAAGACATTCATGTGAACTTAGTTGTTCATTCAGTTGTTGGTTTTACAACACTTGGGATCAAATTACTTTTACCATGCTTTTACTATGCACTTAATAAATCAGTCCTTTGAATGATATTTTATATCTTTTGTTTATTAACAGTAAGTAGAATCTACCAGGAAGTGCTTTTGTACAAATCCCATTGAAATCTTAACAAGAACATAGTAGTCATTTCATCTCTTTACTACTTGCTCGGGGGTTTTTCAGTTACAACATGGTGTAACAGAACACAAGAAAAATCTGATGAAATGTTTGGTACTGCCAGTGTGTGTGTGTGTGTGTGTGTGTGTAGATAGATGATAGATAGATAGATAGATAGATAGATAGATAGATAGACAGATGACATAGAGAGAGAGAGAGAGGGAGAGGGAGAGAGAAAGAGGGAGAGAGAGGGAGATGATAGATAGATAACAAGTTCCACCTTATTCCTAGTTTTTTACCAGTTCAAACAGGTAAGGCATGGCAACCAAATGAAACAGCCTTTATCCACTCTGCTGAGGTCTGAGCGTTTAATTATTTCAAACATTCACAAAGAGTGGGGCATTCAACAGCTTTTACTATGCTCAGTGACTCTGACTGGATAGTTATCAGTCTTTTTCTGCCTTGGAATCTCTGACTGTGAAAATACCAGCCATGTGAACTGTTAACACAGCACACCAGTTTCATCCACCTCCAAACCAGTTTAATTGACCTTATCCAAGTTCTTTCTTTTAAGGAAGGAGGGGAAGGAGAATCAAGTTCAAACAAGTATGACGCCAAAGTCCTTTGCCCGGATGGTACTCTTTGAAATTATGCCTCGGAGGCTCTGCACTTTCTGGCGTCTGTGTGAGGTTGGTTCAGACTGGACAGCGAATTAGTGAACCAGAAAAGAAGTGCTTAGGTTTCTTCAGCGTGCGCCAGCTAGAGGAATAGGCTAGCATCTTCAGACATAAAACACACAATAATTTTCAGAGTTGGTCTAGTAGAAAATTAAATCTCTGTACAAAGTGTAGGTTAATCCTCTTCTTCCAAGGTTAGCAAACAAGATGTCAAAAGACTTGCACAAGGAACTGTCTGTCAGGATTGAATTGCTATTTACTACAAGTTCATATTAGGGGCTGCATATATATGCACGGTCACAAAGAAGCATCAGTTCCACTCATGTATACTGACTAAACTCTTTTTAAAAGAGGGGGAAACAAATCTACCCATGATATGTGGAAGCTCAGCAACATCCCCATGAGACTTGCCTTTGTACAGTGGTACCTTGGTTCTTGAACGGCTTAGCTGTCGAACAGATCAGCTCCCAAATGCCACAAAGCCGAAGTAAGTGTTCCAGTTTGCGAACATTTTTTGGAAGCCAAATGTCTGACACGGCTTCTGATTGAGTCCAGGAAGCTCCTGCAGCCAATCGGAAGCCATGCCTTGATTTTCGAACGGTTTCGGGAGTTGAATGGACTCCTGGAATGGATTAAGTTTGAGAACCAAGGTACCACTGTATTTGTAATGATTAATTATCTCAATGTTAATTATATTAAATGTACACAAGTTGCTGTGACTTTGCTACTTCAGAATCAGTTATATAGTGAATCTGCTGTTGTCCTCAATTGACACATGAATAAAAAGTGATCCGGACTAAAGTGTATACCTGTTATATACAGTATACAGTTCATATTTTGAAGTGGCAGCCTGCAGCCAATCCTGCAGCCAATCAGAAGCAGCGCCTTGGTTTTTTAACAGTTCCGGAAGTTGAACGGACTCGTGGAACGCATTCTGTTTGAGAACCAAGGTATGACTGTACTTCTAACTATGGATCTCTAGGACGACTCTTATTTTACATACCCATGGAAAAGAGGATGTGTCCTGGGAAAAGAGGGCATATGGCAACCCTATCATAAAGGTAAAGGTAAAGGGACCCTTGACCATTAGGTCCAGTTGTGGCCGACTCTGGGGTTGCAGCGCTCATCTCGCTTTATTGGCTGAGGGAGCTGGCGTACAGCTTCCGGGTCATGTGGCCAGCATGACTAAGCCGCTTCTGGCGAACCAGAGCAGCACACGGAAACGCCGTTTACCTTCCCACCGGAGCAGTACCTATTTATCTACCTGCACTTTGATGTGCTTTCGAACTGCTAGCTTGGCAGGAGCAGGGACCGAGCAATGGGAGCTCACCCCGTTGCGGGGATTCAAACCGCTGACCTTCTGATCGGCAAGTCCTAGGCTCTGTGGTTTAATCCAAAGCGCCACCCGCATCCCTAACCCTACCATAGGCTATTGGAAAAGGAAGCAAAAGTATTCATCCAGTAAGCGGGGGTGAGTGTCAAGAAGAAGAGGGAATGCATTCTTGTTGCTGAGGCAACTGTGCTGACATTCCTTGTCATGTTTCATAAGAAGATCCATGCTGGGACAGAACACAAGTCTACCAAGTCCAGCAACCCGGACAGTCACCAGCCACACACCCAAGCTTGAAACAACCCTCTTCCACTTTTGCTCCCCAATCCATGGTATGCATTAGAATAAGAACAGAGGAAGCTGCTAAACCATTGGTCTGTCTCAGTACTGTTTGCTCTGACTAGGGAGGGAAAATTCCTAGGCCTACCTGAAAATTCTGAGGATTTATTTGCTCTTAATGAGGCTGCCAAATCTGATTGGTTACATGGCACTGTGATGTCATCACACTTACTGTATGATCCCTAATTGACTGGGCTCATCCAGTGCTGATAAAGAGGGAAGAAGTATATATCTCAGGTCAGGGCTGTTAACTTATGGGGCAGAGGTTCCAGGTTGCAAGTTACTCATTCCAGGAAGACTTGAACTTCCGAACCTCTCACTTGAGAAATTAACCCTTATGAGTCAGGAACCTACTGTTTCATCATTAACAGTAGAAAAATTAACATTAACAGTGGGAAAATTGCTTACATAAAACTGTTATACAAGGGGCTGAAATACTAGCAGTTCAGAGGCTTGTAGCTCTCTGTTGCACTTTGCCTGGATGTTCTTTTTGTTTGGTTTTGCTAGTGCAATTAATACTTAAGCCTCTGAGCACATTAGTAATGCTTCATTGCAGTAACTGGGCTGTGCATTTTTTCCCAAGCCTTTTTCAGAAAGAGAGAGAACGTCCTTGGTCTGCAACACACAGGCTTTCTTGCTGGAAAGGGGCACTTTAGTTAATGTTTCTAACTGACCAATGATTGTTAGGTGTCCTTTGCTGCAGGGCCCAAATATGGGGAAACCAGCAGGTCTCCTGCTGCTAATCCTGCGCTGAAAATAGATTGATTTTATTACCAGAGACTCCAAAGTGCAAATTACTAACAGCTGACCTGGCCCAGGAAGAAACGTGCCTCTCGTTTTAAGGCATCTATCTGCAAGACAGTGATGTACTACTGGTTGTGGGTAACACAGAAAGCTCTGGACAGCCAGAAAGGTACCAGCATCATGGCCCTTCTTTGACTTCAGGAGTATCTCTGGAAAGCCAACATCCTCAACGTGAAGCAATGTGTCCCCCACTCTGATCAAATCTGCTATGATTAAAACCAGGGGACAAAGTGAGTTCTTTGGCCACCAGGGGGCATATAGCTACTTACTTACCAAGAGGGATCTAAGTGTTGATTGATTTAGCTGAGCTCATGTCACATAAAAGTGCCATAGCGTATCTCTGTACATTCCTTCTGTGGTTCTGAATTCCCATTGAATAACGAGCTTTTCCCACGGGCAAGAGTAAACAAAGTACAAAGGCGTTTTTGTGAAGATAAGGGACACGGTTCCTGATCACATGGGGTGGGGAAACCTGTACAAATTGTAGACGGATAGGCTCTGTGCTAAGAGGTAATGCATAAGTGAAGGTTGGAAGCAGTATTGGACACGTGATGAGCTACAGACACTTAAAGTGCTACATACAAAAACCCATGGCCTCACAGAAAATGTATGTCTAGGCTAGGGATGGAGGAAAACTTAGTTTGGTTTGCATGATTAATATGAGCTTACAAAATTCACGCTGCCCAAACCAAACACTTTCCCAAATTTTGTAATGCAGGTCTCAAACCAAAGAACGCAAACAAAGCTTCCTGTACGATACTGAAATGTGCATGCAAAAATGCATATGTTATTGAAAATAGTGTACAAAATTGCATTCCGTTGGGAGGAAATCAAAAATACACAGGCAAAATTGTGTACACAAATTGCATATATTTGGAGAAACACATATAAAAATTTGTACAAATTTTCAAGCATACTTTTTAAAAATTAAAAATGCAAAGACAACATGTATGCTAAGTGGGGTATTTTTGTACTTGTTTTGTTTAATTCCTCAGGTCCTGCTGCCGCCTTGGCTCTTCTCTGCAGAACTATGATAGCTCAATTTTTGGTAGCTTTGAACATAACCCACATGTAAAGGCACTGTCTCGTGCTTATGGACTCTCTATGTTAGAACTGTCTTGACTGATCAGATGGTGACAGCAGCCACGAAATTAAAAGATGCCTGTTTCTTGGGAGAAAAGCAATGACAAACCTAGACAGCATCTTAAAAGCAGAGACATCACCTTGCCAACAAAGGTCCGTATAGTTAAAGCTATGGTTTTCTCAATAGTGATGTATGGAAGTCAGAGCTGGACCATAAAGAAGGCTGATTGCCAAAGAATTGATGCTTTTGAATTATGGTGCTGGAGGAGACTCTTGAGAGTCCCATGGACTGCAAGAAGATCAAACCTATCCATTCTGAAGGAAATCAGCCCTGAGTGCTCACTGGAAGGACAGATCGTGAAGCTGAGGCTCCAATACTTTGGCCACCTCATGAGAAGAGAAGATTCCCTGGAAAAGACCCTGATGTTGGGAAAGATAGAGGCACAAGGAGAAGGGGATGACAGAGGACGAGATGGTTGGATAGTGTTCTCGAAGCTACCAGCATGAATTTGACCAAACTGTGGAAGACAGAAGTGCCTGGCGTGCTCTGGTCCATGGGGTCACGAAGCGTCGGACACGACTAAATGACTAAACAACAACAACAATCTTGACTGGTGCAAGCCTGGGGACAGCAGTATGGATTCATTTCTTTTTCAAGCCCACTGAAGCCTTGTACGGTACGGGCCCGAATTTCCATCAAT